TATAATTAAACTAAAATTATTATAGACTATATGGTTTTTGTCATCTTCTGATTGGTCAACTTCAGATGGATCGCCAAATCGTCAAACCGCACATACACCAAGAATTTAAACCGACACCCAGATAGCAAGAACATTTGGGCCAAATGTGGCTGATAGCTGTCACATTTGTCCTAGGTATGGCATGGCTGAGCACATATGGGCCAAACTTTAACCGTATATGTTTTCGACAGACCGCTGCAAGTGGTAGCGCGCGGAGAGCGACACAGTCAGCAGATTTCCTTTGGCGCAGATCTGGATCATATCAACAGCTAAAGTGTGGCCCAGATTAGTTTGTGTTTGCTGGCCCAAAACTGGTCCACATCTTTTTAGCCAGAACTGAACCAAAACAGTGCCATAACCCAACCCAGAGTGAGCCAAATATCATCATCCTTTCCCTTTAAAACTCTTTTCTACTAGTTACAACCGGTTATAACGCGAAATAAACATGCTTGTGTCATGTAATCCTAATCAGTTTTCCAACCGCGGGAAAATGCCAATAAAACAGCATAACCTTTACCTCAAGCAAGCTTGTTGCTAGAAAAGTGCAATGTGCAAATGTGCAGTTTATATGTTTGCATACATTTATTTTTTTTAGTGTTGGTTATTGTATCTACCTATTGTATAGCATTAGCTAAGATAGATTTTTTTATCCTTAAGAAATTGTAATTATCATTCAGTTTATTTAAAGGCAGAGACATAAATTGTTCAGTAAACCACTGTTTATTAAAAAAAAAAAAAAAAGCAATTGTATGTTTTCTCCCCCGCTGTACCAAAACTGTATGAAACTTAATATTATGTATATATAATTAAGTATTATGTCTAAAAATAGCCTGTTATTAAAGTAGCTAAAATTTTCCTAATTTAAAAAGGCACTCATGTCTTGGGTGATAGAAAAGAATGTGTGCAGTGCTGATTATGTGCTTGTCTTGAAATAATATCTCATGTGTGATACTAATTATGATATACTAATGTTCTTTTTTATCTTCTTTTTCCTGACAGACTGTGAGTGATAAAGACTGGCGAGACTTACTAAAAGTATACATTTTTGTACATTTATTCACTCATCTGACATTTGCAAAATAGCACACTTCTGTTATGTTCTGTATTGTAATCCTGCTATTAAAATTCTACAATAAACATTTTAAAAATGAGTGTGAATCCATTTTTGTGTTTAAGATTTACTGTGTAATGGGTATTTTAAATAAAAAAAATAGGTGTGGTGTAAATATGGTTAAATAATGGCATTTGGTTTATCAGCCACATG